TCGAAGGCTTTCGAAAAATCTACATACGCAACATCTACTTGTCCTCCCTCATCAATAGTTTCCGAACAAAATTGTTTGAAACATGCTAAATTAGTTAACGTTGACCTACCTTGAAAGAAGCCGTGTTGGCTGAATGAAATCTCTCGCTTAACATGGGAAAAAATTATGTCATGTAAAATAAATTCAAAAAGCTTGCAAACGTTGCTTATAACTACCACAGGCCTATAATTTTTAATCACTGATCGTTCTCCTTTCTTAAAAATTGCAGCAATCCTAAATGTTTTCCATACCATAGGGAACGTAGAAGTTTTAAGAGACATATTGAAAAGATGAACCAAAGGTTCAGCTATAATAACAGCGCAGTCCTTTAACAAAAATGCAGGTATTCCATCTGGAGTGGCAGATACTTTAGGCATACTTTTTTTCACAGCTTCAATAACCTGTTTATGCGTAATTACTGGCAAATTCAATGGTAGAGAAGTATTGTTAGCTTAGCTTGCAGGTTGAAAGTTTGTTGTAAAGTCGATTGAAAAAAAAGTGCGAAAGCATTGACAATATCTTGAGGCTTATCAAGTTGGCTGTCATTGAACATCATAGCGTTAGGAATACATGTAGCATTTTTCCGAGACCCTATAAATGACCAAAATTGTTGAGGATTAGCAGTTATGTTCCTTTCCATATTAGCAGTATATGCTTGGTATGCCATATCAATGCTTATTTTTATACTTCTTCGCAAACTTTTAAAGGTTTCACAGTCTTGTGGATTATCTTTTACACCTTTTCCATAAACGATGTTTCTTTCTTGTTAAGAAGTGCGAAAATTGTAGATTTGATGTACGGGAATAGACCAATCAACAGAAGCGCGACTGGTCATCTGATTAAGCTACGTTATCTTGTACCATACAAAACCTAAATGCAAGTCGTTTCAACTTATTATTAGAAGTAGCCAACCTGTTAGCCAGCAGCCAAATTAGTTCTGATCACATGTTCCCCTGTTCCCCCCTCCAAGCCCGGCACCTCGAGCGATGCCAGATCGAACGCTACATTGCCAGTCTCATCACTTAATTTACAGACCTCGTATGTCATATAGCAAGAGTTTGATAAAGATCTGTAAAGAAGACTAGTCAGACATTGCGACCGTGGAAGATATGGCAGGTTCGACATGGTTGCATTTTTAGTTTTAGTGTTCAGAGTTGGCAAGAAAAGACTAAAGGCGGTATCAGTTTTCAGGCTTACTTGGAGTTAATCGTATTGACGCAGTGTTTGCAATTTTTTAAATGCACTTTTCGCGAACTTGGTGAATATTCATACTCATTTGCCACATGACTATGCACAGTATATCTTAATTATCCCACAACTAATTACAAACGCGAGACGTCTTCATCACAGTAAAGTCGGCGTTAAGCACCCATTGAGCTTTGAGATTTATGTTTTCATTGCTGCACCGATAATTGCATTTTGTCGGCATTTCCTAAACAAAGGACTATCGTGTCGTATGCAGTTACTAATTGCAATTGTTTTACTATTCGTGTTTTAATTACTTTAAATTACTTTTTGAGCAAATGATGGCTCGATACAGGGTGGATCTGGACACGGTCTTCAGCTATACTTTGAAGACATGTAGCGATTGAAAGATTTTCTATATCTAATTATTTACTCGGAGACGAAGAAAATAGAACACGCAGTAAAAGTGATCGCGAGCTACCGGTAGCTCGCAAAGACAATTCTGGTGGCTCCCAAAATCTTTTAAAAAGGTGTAAAAATCATAGAAGCTTCTGAAAATTTATTCAGAACCTTGGGCGATGAAATTGACTGTCAATATGGGGAACTACTTCTTGACTCTGAAGTCCGATGGTTAAGTACGAGACGATTTTTTATCTGGACATATTTTTGTTTAAAATAGTACGTAGCTCTTTTTATTTTCAGTTACCCCGATGTTCAGTTGTCAAATCATGTTTCTAAATTGATTTATGTCTTCTTGCTAGCCGTACTTGATTTCCAAGAGCTGCTAGCGTTGATGGGGGATGAGGTAAATGGTTACACTCTTCCTCTCATCATATCACACACATGTTCAATGACCCGAAGGTCTGGGTGTCTAGGATGTCAAAGCAGGAGGCTAACTTGATCGTTATTGGGGTAGTTAATTATCAAGAAACGATAAATGCTGAGGTACCAGTATTTCCTGGATATACCATTGCGTCGTCACATCTTTTTCTAATGAATAATACTACAGTTGACTTGGCAGCATATGTAATTTCGCCCCATACCAGAACTCCTATTGTATGCTGCAAGTGCACTGACAAGACATTGTCAATTAACCAGTTACTATTGGTGGTCATTGTCGTCTAGACCAGTTAGGTGAAAAAATTAAAGCTTACGCCTTTTTTTGGGTACTTCGACAAAAATTTTAAGCAAGGAGGACTCTATACTTTTTTATTCTCTCTAGCTTTCAATGGACTTTGCCATCATCATCAGGAGAGCAGTATGTGAGGATGTTGCTAATTGTTGTTTACGTTCAGGATGAGGGAAACACCCAGTAAGATGGTGAAAGCTAGATAAATGGTACAATGGTCAAAATTATATAAAATACACACAGCTGTGTGACAAGAACAAGTTAAAAACAGATTAAAAATTTTTAGAACGTTGAAGCATTACATCGTGAAGCCACTTGATGATTGCACCTTTTTTTTAATTAGGGGAGAAGTAGAAGAAATTGGAGTAAATTGAGTGTGGAATGAAGTTTCTTCAACTGTCTGTGGCAAGAAGATATCTCAAGTGTGAGCATTTTGTCACCTAACCTGTGCAGACGATTTTTCATCCCATCTTCTATTGGATGGCTTTCTAGTATGTGTGTGATTGATGTTAAGCGGTGGGAGATGTGATGTGGTGTAATGCCATGTTTTCAACATTTTAATAAGAAAATCCGTCGATTGATCTCCTGTGCCAGTCATTTTCCGCCCTTATCCGGATGTATGGGCATGTGTATCTACTTTTGTAGTTGCATATGTGCATTCATTTCGGGCCTGATGAAGCCAACCAGCAGAAATACGTATCGCTCGGGTTACCTATCCTATTTTCTGCTCGAATCCACTTTCATCCTTTTTGCGGATTTTGCCCATTATTTTCCTATTTTTGTTATATATATATATATATATCTATATATACTATTAAACTGATTTGCTTGAAAATAGCAAACCATGTACCTGCTTTATCAAACTGGGAAGATCTTTTCGTCTCGTTGTAAAACCTCTGTACACATTTTTCCTAGATCAGGGTCCATTTTTGACTAGTTAGCTAGATTAATAAAAAGTTCAGGCAGGGATCAACAAGCTATTTTAGCGGAGTCCTTAACATGTTCAAAACACTTGCGGTATTTAGGTATGTGTGATTTTTGACGAGTTCAAAGTACCTTTTTTGAGAAGGACGTCGGTTTTCAAAGGTTCAGAATGTCATTTTCATACGAACATTAAAACTTCGTAATCAAGTTTGCTGGCCCTGACATTGACACATTATGTCCCCACATGTCCTCATTCGATATGAACATATTTCGTGGACCACCCCGTAGACTCGCAGAAATTTACAAATACAGTGAAGCATTTTTGTAATGTGCGTGTAATAGTTTTGCGACTAAAGGTATCCACAGCCTAAGAGTGAGAGCCTCTATAAACCCGGAGTTAATGTTTTGTATATAGCGGAAAAAATTGCATGGAAATTAGCAAATATTAAGTTTGCATAATTATTGTACACCAGGTGTTAAGTTGCTCATATACATATATATATATTTCATTCACTGAAACAATGCAGTTACGAATTTGACTGTCAATCGTGATACAAAACAGATCCTAAGTTGGTACCTATAATTTGAATTTCCCGGGTACATTTATGTTGCTAACAGTTTTCTGTGTGGCGACATTGTGGCAAAGTTTATCAGGTTGCTGTTTATTTGTGGTTTATTTCCTAGGATCTAGTAGTTTCAAGTAATGTGGCAACCATGTGCGTAACTGTCATTATTTGAAGTTTTGACGTAACTGCTTTGATTCAGTAAATAAACTATACTCCTCGAGGCTATAAAATATCCCTCAGATGTCTTGCATTCAACTGGGGTGGTTCCCATTACTCCAAGATACTTTTTAATACAGCGTGTAAACGTTATGATAGTCACTATTTAAATGGGTGATAGAGGGGTTAAAAAACGCAAACAGTTTCATATAACATGGGGGTCAAAACGGCATTTTTAAAGAAAAGCGACTTTAAGGTAAAATAAAATCTGACAACGCGGCAATACCAGACGCAAATTACGACGGAACGCAGTGTAAATAAAGACGGAGTTTGTTATGTTTGGCTCTTAGGTATTATTTCATTATTTGAGAATGTACTCGTAAAATGCAAATAATTAAAAAACGGACTTACCACTAACTGTCTCAGCGCTGCACCTGTTGTGTGAAAGTTTATTGAACGTATTAAAAAAATCCACTTATAAATACGGAACACAATTTTGATACATACATTGTTTTTCTTTTTAAAACCCACACGGCACTTTTTTTGTATTTAAAGAAGGTGTTCAAAATGTCGTCCTCCACTTTCCACATAAGCTTCATTACGACGAACCCAGTTTCTTCTTACTCTAGGTCCTCAAAGTTGTCCATTTATTAGAGGAGAAGGTCCGAATATGAGCCCGCCATTTGTTTTGCTTAAATAGTTTCCAGAGATTTTGGAATTTTATTATAAAGTGTGGGACACATAACTCTTAATGTGTTTGTTACAGTATTTTAACGTTGTATTTATTTTTTATTAAAAAAAAACTTTTAAAAAACTAACAAAATAGCAAAAAGTGTAAATTTTGAAAACAGAGGCAGAGTGCTATAAATATGGGCCGCTTTAAAAAGTGTGATAGAGAACGCTATTTTTATTAAAAAACTAGTAAAAGATATTCTTATTCAAAAACTAATAACTAATAACCATTTTTTTGGAAAAAACATAGGTTGAAGAATACATATATCGTCTACATAAGTTACATATTATTTAACGAACAAAGTCGAACAAATAAAAACTAAGAAACTGTTTTTTTCAGCGTGTTAACAAAAACTAACATTTCGTTCTTATTAAAAACAAACAAGAACTCAAACTTAAGTCTAAGTAAATTTAACGACAAAAGTCACATACGTAATCGTCTTTTTCAGCCCCTGAACATTGTTCATGTGCCCACAGGTTGCACATAATGCAACGAACCCAAAGCTCTCCTATCTGGTTTTCAGAAAAACGCTCATCACAAGATAGGCAAACGGCTTCTTTATCATCACATACAGACTGTCCTATTTCATCAACATCCATGTATTCATCATGCGGTACAAAGGCTTGCCCTTCAGTGTCAGATTCATCATCAATTTCTCTTTTTCAGTAATTTCTGGAAAAACTTTTCTCTTTACCAGTGCTTTAGCCTGCATGATCTACTACGTGAGAGTTCAGGTTGATTCTCTTTTGTCAGTTTCTTCGAAGCTGAAGTAGATTGAATACCCGTAAAAGATCTTTTCACTATCGGCATGTTCGCAACATCCAAAAATGTTGTGTATTGTTTTGCTTATTATTGCCCGTTGATTTGTCTTTCATTTTCAGTGAAGCGATGCTGCAATTTTTTTCAGCTTCTACTTCTTCTGGTATGAAATATGCATCGGAGAATATGTGGCGATCAAAAGGATATATACCGGTTGCTTTAAACCCGTTTACTGCAATCTCAGCAGACTGTGATTTTAAAAAAGCTTTACCCAAAAGCTCTGCAAGATCAAATTGACTAAGGGTACGATGATTCTGATGTAGCCAATTTCTAATTTCCTCACTATAGTAGATCTTAAAGGCCCCCTTGAAGGTTTTGTCCACCGGCTGGAGTTTGTGTGTTGAATGAGGTGGTAGAGAAATTATAGTTAATGATTTTCTTTAGCCAGCAGAACTACTTGCAGATTCCTGGTGTGGCTATAGTGACCATTTAGCAGTAACAGAACAGGAGAATCATCCGATGGCTTAACGAATTCTATAAAATGCTTCATCCAGTCAACAAAGAGATTATGTTGCACCCAGCCACTGGAGTGTACAGCATACATTGAACCAGGAGGTGCACCACGCATGAGTTGATCATTACGATTTTTCCGTGGAAAAATTAACATCGGTGGAACAAAATGACCACCGACTCCCATAGCTGAAATTAAAGCGACCAGGGATCCTCGTTCTGCTGATGCATTCTGTCTTTTACCTTTCCTTCCTACAACCTGCATTACTTTACTTTGAACAACAGTTAAACCTGTCTCATAGATTTGGTGCTGTGAAAAATTTTTCGCTTTGTACTGGGTTTCCAAATTATTGAAAAACTCTTCTACGTTCGCTTTGTTAAAACCTAATGCCCTGGCAAAAGAGGTTCCAGTTGGTGTTCTAAGAGATAGCATCTTCTTATGCCGAGTTAAAAAGCCGTCCAACCAGCTACCATTTTTAAATGGATTCTCAATACCATTCTTAATAGCCGAAGTATAAGCCAACTTTCTAATATCTTTTCTTGAAAGTCGATAATATAGGGCTTCCATTTCTAAAATATATCTAACCATTGTTCTGCTCTGCTCTGATCCTAATACAGTTTTTCTTCCCAACTTTGTACAGCAACTTGTGGAGTCAGATCTTTTTCTTTTTGGTGTTTAAGCAGTCTTTGTAGAGTTGATCTAGGAACTGTAAATCTTTTACATACACGCTTGGTACCCATGATTTGTTTATTCACACATTCCATGGCCCCGACCATGTCTTCATTTTTTCATTTCTTTCTTATATTTTTTGGTAAAAACTTTGGTTTTGAACGTGGCATTTTCAGTCTAAAATAAAAAAAAATATTAGACGTTGGTCTAAATATGGACCCGGGCCCATATTACCGACATCAAAAGGGCCCATATTAGCAACATTGCACACTTCAAAAGAAAAAATCGGAAAAAAAATCATGGTTGGTTAATCAGTTCAAAAACATCAAATCTTGGGATATAAAGAACCTACCTTAATAATATAAGCAGTTATATTTATGCTATTTCCATTAAAACTAAAATTCGAAGATTATCTTGAAAAACTGTGGAATTTTCATAAACAAAACATCAACATTATCCTCGGTTGCAAAGCAATACGCCACTGAGCGGGATTATAGAAAACGTTTTTCACCAAAACCGAGTATTTTAAGGCAAAATTGATAGATTTAGCTACTTGGGCGGTTGAGATATCGAGGGGGCCCATATTAAATGCAGAGCCCATATTCGGACCTTCTCCTCTACTTGGATTTCAGCTGCATTAATTTTTTTTTCGAGAAGTTGTTCTTCAGTTGTTATTGGACCAGCCCCATCAACCATCCCTCTAAGTTCTCCCCTATACCAGAAATCCATCGGATTGAGGTCAGGAGATCTTGCTGTCCTTTTTCGGGGATCATGAGCATTTCGACCGATCCAGCGATTTGGATAATGTTCATTCAAATACTGAATGACGCCTCTAAAAATATGTCGTGGTGCCCCGTCATGAAGAAACTACAAATTCTGTCACCAAAAGTTTTGGTAGGTTATTGGCTAGAAAGCTAAGGTATCCTTATCCTGACAACTTTGAGGGTATCTCGAAAGGGCCAATTACCTGATCGTCAAGAATACCCGCCCAAATATTTATTTTAAAGCATTGTTGGAAATGACCTTCACGAATGGTTTGAGGATTTCCTTGGGCCCACGTGTGAGTATTATGGAAATTTAATATCCCGCTCGCGTAAAAGTACATTCGTCTCTCACTAGAATGTTTTTAAAAGACTCCGAATTTTCAATGTTTTTGTGCAAAAACCACTGACAGTATGATAGTCTGCGAAGACAGTCTTCTGGTAACAATGCCTGCACTAGTTGTACATGGTAGGGATAAAGCAAATTTTCCCATAGGATTCTATGGACTATGGTATGCGATAGTCCTACGCGGCGGCCTAATCCCAGAGTGCTGAAATCTGCATTGATTTCCACGATATTTAAAATTTGTTCCTCCTGCTCTACAGTAACCTGTCTTTCACGAGTGCGAATATTAGTGGGCTGAACACTTCCTGTATCTCGATGTCTTTGGTACACTTGCACAAATGTTTTCGATTAGATTATAAAAATTAGTAAGATTGTGGTGATTGTGGTCGATATAAACCCTGTATATTTTTCTTCCCAAGCCACTGGCGAGGAAGTACTGTAATCTTAAATAATTTCAAAAATGATATATTTCTTTGGATGTTATATCACGAAAAACCATATCACCATGGTCTGTTGGACTGTAGAAAAAAAGGCGTCGGCCTCTATGTATCTATGTATAATTTTCCGAGCAGTGGAATTCCAAAGAAGCACCAATAAGAAGCAGGTTTTGTCAGAAACATTATTGTCATCAATAGGACGTATCAAGAAAAAAACATTCACAGACTGCAGCAGTGTGCGTGTCCGTGTATGGTAGCCTTATTTATTTGGCGATATGATGTAAAACTGTTTTTCGACAACGTTTTATAACATTATAATAACTCTTGATACGTACTTATATATTATTATACTACATAAATAATACCTACACCTATGGTACCGTATTAAATTACACTTCATTTTCAAAATTAAGGAGTTTGAAGGCTTAGTTCTCCAAGAGAAAATTGGGGCAAAAATTACCTTCAAAATTCTTTTGGGATGAAACAATCATAATATACAAGGAATGTTCCTATTGCCAATGTCGAATCAGTCTCCATGAGAAAAATGCGTGGGGGCGCTCTTGTCTGAGAACCAAACTTTCAAACCGATGTGCCTGCGATTGACGGGAACCAGTTACAAACTCTGCTACAACTCTTTTGGTTCGTTTTGACTTACAAAATACAAATATACAGAAAAATCTATGCTTGAAGTATGACCTATAGGTGCGTAGAAATACCCAGGCTACGAGCGGATGGTATAAATATACTCTGACATTAGAAGTCTTACACCAAAAAAAAAATTATTTTTTCAAATTGTTTTTTTTGGCAACATGATGACTATATCTGAAGCATGCTGTGGCAATAATATCAACGTTTTATCTTTGTTTCTGTTTACCTTTGTTAAAATGTTCTCTTAGTTTTTGACGATTATTATTTAAATTCCAGTACCTCATTAAATATCTAGACCATGAAACAATAAAGATGTGTTATATCATGTACTTACTGAATGTCGCCTAAATTATGCCATACTAGCTTGGGGTGGTACTCTCACCAACCAAATTAAGAAGCTAGAAATAATCCAAAAACAACATCGAAAATTATTTATAAACGGCCAATTCTACAGGGTGTTTCAGTTTATTGTTGCATAACTTTAAGATTCGATAGACCTTTTGAAATAAATGCATAAAGTCTATATAAACATGGGTCGACAAATGCGTGGCTTCCGAAATACAGGGTGTTTAAATTTACTTTCTAAAATAGTTTTTTTTTAATATTTCGAACAATATTTGATGTATAACAGTGAAAATTGGTATACAAGGGTTTTTTGGTACGACAAAACGAACCATGGGCATAGTTTTACTGTAGCCGCTGTAGGGCGCTCTCTACTGTACCTGAGTGTATTAAAATGACCGAAAATTTTTTCTTAGTGCAATTTTTTGCTTTTTGAATAAAAAAATTATTCTTCGCACTTTTCAACATAAAAAAGCTCTCCTGTGAGTTTTCGTTATAGTTAGCCGTTTTTGAAATATTTCGATTTTTAAGGTTCGATGCATTTTTAATTATTTATGGGAAAATAATATATTTTTTTTACATTTTCGGTTTGGGCATTACAAGTAATTAAGATGATCGTTTAGATTGTGTTTTTAAACACAGCAATAATTCCTAACTCCAAATAAACACAAAAAAACAGAATATTAATTTGTTTAATTTTCCAATATTATTTTTAACAAATTAAATTAATTATTTACAACTAAAATGCTCTTGGATAGTTAGTACAAACATATAAAATCTAAAGTAGTTGCTCGAAATGTAAACCCAATTGTTCAATACACAATTCACATCTACGAATGATCGAACGTGGTATAGCATTATTCAAATAAGGCCTCCTGATTCTGTCTATTAGCATATCTCTTGTGGTTACGAGAGTCTGGTACACTTTTTCTTTTAGAAATCCCCACACAAAGAAATCTGATGGATTTAGGTCAGGGGATCGTGGAGGCTAGGCGACTGGTCCTCCACGGCCGATCCATCTTTCTGGATAATTTTCGTCCAGCCAGTTTCTAACTATTCTCGAATAATCAGTTGGACAACCATCAAGCTGGAACCAGGCCAATCTTCTTAAATCTAACATAACATCATCTCACATATTTGCATGTTCAGCCTTTAAAAAATCCAAGAAGGCCGCAGCATTTAACCTGGCAGGCAAAAGGTAGGGTCCAAATAGTCGATTACGGTAGATACCAATCCACACGTTCACACTAAATTTATGCTGAAAATTTCTTTCCGGAACTGCATGCGGATTTTCATGCGACAAAAAATGTTGATTATGAAAATTTACCACTCCACGTCTAGTGAAGCATGACTCATCGGTCCATAAAGCGTTACTTAAAAATTCCCTATTATTATCAGTTCTATCAAGAATCCACTGACAAAATGTGATTCTTCGTTCTCCGTCCCCTGGCTGTAGTCCTTGCACAGGTTGCAAATGGTAAGGACGTCTATGGTCATTTCTAAGAACACGGTGAACATGGCTTGCTGAAATTCCCAAGGCACCAGAAACTCTCCTAACACTTGTGGTCGCATCTCTATCAAACTCACGCAGAATCATACGGGTAAATCTGCGCTGACGAACATTTATGTTTTGATCCCTTTGGAGATTTCCAAAACCATTTTCAATTATTTGGCGATGCACTCTTACAAATACTGAGCGAGTTGGATGTCGTCTGTTTGGAAATCTTCGTGCGTATTCTCTGGCTGCTTTTGCTGCGTTTTCATTTACAAAGCCATACACAAAATGAATATCCGCTAACTCTTGATTTTTTTTTTTTTTTTTTTTTTTTTTTTTTTTTTTTTTTTTTTTTTTTGACGGCGTCAACTTCTCTGGTTATTAGCCGTATTCAATAATATATAAATATAATATATAAATCTAAAGTATAAAATATATAATCTCTTACATGTCTAAGTGGTAAGTGTCGCATTTTTAAAAAACTAACTACGCAAATTCCAGATATTAATCGAAAAGGATATACTATTGTCATTTACTTTCAGATTCTATTAGCGACAAAAGATAATTTCTGGAAAATGTTACACGACTAAATTTGTCAGGCATATATTCATTAATATTATTTTTTTTTTGTGGTCATTATCTGCATTTCACGATCTTGTTTGCGTTCACGTAAGTATTTCGATTTATCCAAATTCTATTGTTGCATGTTTCTTTTAGTTCAAGATGACAATACTAAGCTAAGGTAGGTATGATGCAAAATCATCGTTACATAACATTCATTTAATCTCAGTTGAGAATAAGATACACAAAAATTAAAATGGTTCATTTCCAAAAAGTTCATTAGGTCAGATCTTCCAATAGAAACCAGATACTTTTAAGAATGATATGACGTTTTTCAGTTTTTCTGGTTGTGTGAGACTCTCTGTCAGGTTATCAAATGGTCCATAGATCACTCGATATTGCGACAATATCGGACATGTGCAGATAATGTGGCGTACAGTGAGTGAAGAGTTACATCCAGTGCACAAGGGCGGATCTGTTCCGAGCAAAAGATGTGCATGTGTAAGACGTGTGTGGCCAAAGCGTAAGCGATGTATGC